GTGCTAATCGTGGGAATAAAACTTGTGCTCTGTGGTTCCCTCTGGGGTTAAAAAATGTGGACAGTTGTCGTGTGAACAAAACCTGGCCACTGACTGCAGTAATCCTGCCGCGTCGTCTTTCTCCTCTACCTCTGCCTTCCTAGCGCGACTGATATTTTGTCAAACCCCTTGACGCCCTGAGCACGTGCACATGTGGTGAGACCTCAGCTGGGGCTGCCCTGGGTCCTCACCTGGGCGAACGGGGTGGTTCCCCCGCAGTTTTGAGGATTGAGAGAAGCGGTTAGAGCTCCCAGCTCCCTGCCCTCTGCGCAGGGACGTGGAGATGTGATTTGTGGATGATCTGACCGCCTCCGGCCCTCCCCCTCCCCCCCTTGATGGCTTTGTTTCACCTGCTGACATGAACTTGGCTGGAGTGAGCGCGCTCGTGGCCATGGGTGAATTAGTTGCATGTGCGACGGCACCTTTCTGCTGTGTTCTTGTTCTCAGAGCTGTGCAGTGGACAAGCGTGTTATTTCTGGAATCAGATGTCCCCTTCCCAGGCTCATGCTGACACGATTCCTCTGTCCCGGGGGCCTCGGCGTGGCTGATGGTTTGACTCAGAGACGGGCTGCCCTTGCCGCCAGCACATATGTCAGAGAGCAGGCCTGCTAGTTACTCTGGGAGGCAGGCGGGTTGGACTAGACCAGTGCGCGGTGGACCGCGTGGGGCTGCCTCTTCCGTGCAGGCGTCTGTGAGCAGACCGTGTCCTCATTTCACATCACCCTCTGTACCCGACGTCCCTGAGCCCCCTAAATTGGGGAGGGGAGATGTGTCAGGGGAGGTGCGGTGTGGATTCCGGCATGTTCTCTGTGGACACCTGCGTTGATCTCGAGACGGGGCCCCTTGGAGCTGGCATGAGGCTGTTCCACGGAGCCCTGGCCATCTGCCCCTCACCTGCAGGAAGTAGGTCGCACCCTGTGGCCACGCATTTGCTGATTTCTGTGCGGGGAGAACACTTAGGATCCAGGCTCTTAGCTGCGGGTGTTCCCTGCAGTGCGCGCAGACTGAGCACGGCTGAGTGCTGGTCTCCGCTGCTCCTCCCCGATGCACGGTGCGTGGTGCCCGGTCCTGTGCTTCAGGCGCTCAGTCACCGTGTAATCATCCAGAAACAGAATTAACCGAGAGCCTAGGTCCTCTGTGTCCGGTTCAGTCCAGCTGATGAGCCGGTCACACATGTCGTTTGTGCTGCGTGTGCCACTCAAACAGTGGTAAACAGTGTCCATCGTGTGTGTCCGTCAGACCTGGTGCCCGGATTAAAGGCTGTGTAATGGCGGGAAAGCCGGGGGAAGCGGACCCTGGGGCCGGGTCAGGCCAGCGTTGGGGTGGAGGTGGCGTAGAGGCGCCCTGGGAGCTCAGTGGTGTCCGACTTCTCCGCTGCCCCCCGCCCCCCGTGTCCCTGGGGAGCGGGAAGCTGGCTCGGCGTGGTGCCCGGTCCTGTGCTTCAGGCGCTCAGTCACCGTGTAATCATCCAGAAACAGAATTAACCGAGAGCCTAGGTCCTCTGTGTCCGGTTCAGTCCAGCTGATGAGCCGGTCACACATGTCGTTTGTGCTGCGTGTGCCACTCAGAAACAGTGGTAAACAGTGTCCATCGTGCGTGTCCGTCAGACCTGGTGCCCGGATTAAAGGCCGTGTAACGGCGGGAAAGCCGGGGGAAGCGGACCCTGGGGCCGGGGCAGGCCAGCGTTGGGGTGGAGGTGGCGTAGAGGCGCCCTGGGAGCTCAGTGGTGTCCGACTTCTCCGCTGCCCCCCCGCCCCCCCTGTCCCTGGGGAGCGGGCGGCTGGCTGGGCCCCGGATGTTCACCGTGTTCAGAGAAAGGGCAGGACAGGCGTGGCGCCGCGTCTCCCTAGGACGGCCCTGAGCCCTCAGCTTGTGCTCCGCGCCGCGTGTACAGGTGGCGGTGGCTCCCTTCAGCGCGGGGGCTCAGGAGGAACCGGAGGAGCGGGTAGGGGTGGGGCTGAGGTTCCTTCCTGAGGCCAAAAACGCAATGACTTCCTCCTCTGCCAGCCCTAATGGTGTGTTGGGGAGGTGTGTTGGAGGAGGTGTGTTGGGGGAGGTGTGATAGGGGAGGTGTGTTAGGGGAGGTGTATTAGGGGAGGTGTGTTAGTGGATGTGAGTTAGGGGAGGTGTGTTAGGGGAGGTGTGTTCGTGGAGGGGAGGTGTGGTAGGGGAGGTGTGTGGGGGGAGGTGTGTTAGGGGAGGTGTGTTAGGGGA